CCCTTCACATTTTAGAATACCAGAGTAAGAAGCATGGGTTTTTTTCCTGTGCTAAAGCATAGGAGCCAGTTTTGTATCAGTTGCAAGCATCCAACTCTGATTTCAAAGCCTGCAGAATGATATTCTCCAGGGAGTTCCCATTTCATGTTCCTCATTGGTGAAGCTTATTTTGCCACCTTTCTACTAATAGAAATATTGGTGACTATACATATAAGTAGATTTCTCCTTGTTAACTGTAGTGCACCAATCTTTTATCCTTAGAGGTCAAATCACAGGACAGGAAGAGACCCTGAAAGGTCTTCTAGTCCAGTCCCCTGCATTCAAGTTAGGACTAAGTATTATTCAGACTATCCCTGACAGGTGTTTCTCTAACCAGTTCTTAAAAACCTACAATAATGGAGATTCCACAACTTCCCTAGAAAATTTAGTACTTAACTACTCTCACTGTTAGGACACTTTTCATAATTTCCAACCTAAACCTCCCTTACTGCAGTTTAAGGCTTTTGCTTCTTGCCCTATTCCTCAGAGGATAACAAAAATAGTTTTTCTTTCTCCTCCTTGTAACACCCTTTCATATACTCGAAAACTATAGTGTCCCCTCTCAGTCATCTCTTCTCCAGACTAAACAAACCCCTTTTTAAAAATCTTTCCTCACAGGTCCTGTTTGCTAGTTTTTAAATAATTTTTGTGCCTCTCCTTTGTACTTTCTCCTCTGGACTTTCTCCACATCTTTCCTGAAATACGATGCCCAGAAAGTAACATAATACTACAGCTGAGACATTCTCAGTGCCGAGTACAGCAGAAGAATCACTTCTTGTATCTTGCTTGCAACATTCCTGTTAACACATCCCAGAATTATGTTTGCTGTTTTTGCAACAGCATTACACTGTTGACTCATATTTAGCTTGTGACCCCCCCCAGATCCCTTCCCACATTACTCCTTTCTAGACGTAGTTTCCCATTTTGTTTGTATGCAACTGATTGTTCCTTCCAAGAGGAATATTTAGCATTTGTCCTTATTGAATTTTAATCCATTTACTTCACACCATTACTCATTTGTCCAGATCATTTTGAATTACAATCTTATCTTCCAAAGCACTTGCAACCCCTCCCAGCGTGGCAACATCCATAAACTTTGTAAATTTGCTCTCAATACCATTATCTAAATCAGTGACAAAGATATTGAACAGGACTGAACCTAGGACTAGTCTTTGCAGGTCCCCACTTGATATGTCCTTCCAACTTGACTATGAAACACTGATAACTACTCGCTGGGAAGGATTTTCTAACCAGATATGCACGCACCATACAATAGCTCTATCTAAGCTGCATTATGCATTATCCTAGTTTGTTTATAAAGAAGTCGTTCGAGACAGCATCAAAAGCCTTAATACAGTCAAGAAATACCACATCTACCACTTCCTCAAAGCTAATATTTGAATATTGAACCTGATAAAGCTTTCACTTTGATTGGATTTAGGATGACACAATTTCATGTAAGGGCCCACAGAAGCAAAACCACCTCCTTTAGCATATCTTGCAGAATCATCAGCCAGTGAATTTGTGCTCAACTGCTATTTGCCTGAACAGTAATGTTTACTCCAGAATTATGAAAAATGCAATAAAGTTCTGACCATTCTCCCAACCATCCACAAATGATATAATAAGAGGATTTATTTTCTGATTTCCTACTGTTAGAAAAGCTGATGAAAAAGCAAATGGAAACAAGCCATCTCGCAGGAGTTAAACCTACTTTATAGTGTAACTTACCAAAGTCAATGTCAAGTAGTGCAGCATTGGCACCTTCAATAAGAATTTTCTTTGGGGAACCATGAAGAGCTTCATACATAAAATAAACACCATCTCGGACCATTGGTCTTATTTTTTCAGCATATCCCTGAAAGTTTCAATATGTACATTTCACCAAATAATGCTACCAGAATGGCTAGAGCAATGAGCAATATGATAAGCTGTAAAAACTCACAAATAACATACCAACAATTCATTATCATGCCATAGAAAAGATCTGTACTTAGTTACACACACACACACACACACGACTATTACTCTCAAAATGTTGTATACCATTTCTATATTAGTACATCATTACTGCTGAGATACACACTACATCATACTGTAACTGGAACATAATTTAACCAAACTAAGGAATATATGAATGAGACAGAGATGCTGTGTGCAAAAACAGTACTGCAACAGGCCTGGAAGTGTCTTAGATACCTTAGAATTCAGTCACGGGCAGAAGGATGAGAAAAATGACTGCAAGTCTGTATTGCCCAGCTTTCTTTAATAAACATGGTCATTTTATATTGATACATGTTACATTAGAATAAAAACTATATTTTGAACATCTTTTTTATTAAGACTTATTCTTAATACTCCTTACCTGAGAGCATTCTATGATAAAATATAGCTTTTACTGTAATTTCATAGGTTATATGATGCTATCGGTATGTATTTCCTTATTATGATTTATAATTTTTGTAGTTTTACTATTTTTAATAATTTTGATAAGACATAGTTCAGACACGTTTTCAGCTGGATTTATATTTTAACATTTTTCTACTTCGGTTCTTTTTACATCTTTATATATGCAGGTGGTCAGATTAGATGATCATAGTGGTACTTTCTGGCCTTAGAATCTATGACTATATGAATCTTCCCCAGTATTAAATCTTTACCTTTAGTTTTTTCAGTTGCCCTTCTATGTCTATTTCCAATGTGGGAAACATTGACTTGTACTGGTGTGCCAGATTCTTGAACCTGCAAAACATCAAAAACTTGCATATGCACAACCTACAGTAGGTACTGTTTTAAAAATCTTTGGCAACAACTCAGTTGTCACCATCAAATAGGTATGGTAAAAGTTCTCCAGTGAAAATATATACAACTCACATATGAATATAAATATGCCCTTGTTATGTAAACTGACTGGAAGCTGTGAACCACACAAGAAACATCTACTAAAATTTCCCTTCCATCTACTTCCTTAATTTTTTTTATTTGAAGAATTTGCACACCAACTCATACATACTAGTTTAACAATGTCCCCTTACAAAGCCAACTTGTCATCCAACAAGTTGAACTCCTCGATGAACTATTTTAGAATCGTTAATAATTGTACCTTGAAGAAAATTCATCAAAATCTGAAAGGAGGTCACAAATACGAAGGCCTGTTCTTGCAGCTTTGGAAGAATACGTTGGTCCAATTCCTTTCTTTGTTGTTCCAATACTAAGTAAACAAACAAAAAAAGTGTGTCTAAATGTATGTATACAATATTTTATGCTAGTGAATTTTATCAAAACGTTTCTACATTTTAGGGAAATGTTTTGAAATGGAGAAGACTGTTTTATGAATATAGCTCTAATTTTGTATAATGATAGATATTGGAGTAAACACCCTAATTATTGCTACTATGCACTGTGTGCAGAAAAGGCCTCAATCTCTGGGTCTGGCTCAGCTCAGCTCGGTAGAAAGCCCCAAGAGTGTGAGGGATGTGTGTGGAATAAAGGTGCTGGTATATAATTACTTTTTTCCCTCTTGCGCTTGACGCTGCACTTCTTGAAGTCCATCAACTGCCTGATGAAAGTCAAACACTATGCAGCAAAGGAAAACCACAGGAACAAGATGGGACACCAAAGGAGAAAAACGTTTAGAAAACAAAACAAAAAAGACATAGATATCTATAATTTAAGGGCTAAGTGCAAAAGCCTTCCTGATTGCGGAATGTACATTGTTCTCACATGAAGTATTACAAAATATTATGAAAACAATAGTACAGTATATTAGTACAACAATATATTAGGCACTATCAATTCAATTAATATATGATCAGTAAACTTTACTTTTTGCCTATAGCATAAGAAGAAGCAATATTAAATACAAATAATTGCTTTGCAAGGTAAGATTTGAACACATAAGCTGGGCTCTCATTTGCATTTCCTATCAGTCATTTCAGTGCTTTTAATCTTCACTTTGAAAAAATACTTACCAATGTGTGCTCTGTCTGATATGATGAGTCGTTTTTCCCACTCCTTTAAACCTGTCAGAAGGTATATATTAAAAGGCTTAAGATTTGTAATTCTCTGAAGTTGTAAGATTGGACATTTACTTTTAGTTTTCCAGTATCTGTCTTCTCATTCATTTTCTTATTAAATATATTGCAAATCCAGATGTCTAGTTTACTTTAAATTGAATACAAAAAATTTTGGTTAGAACACAATTCCTAAGTCATCATGTTCTCTTAATAAACTGTTTTAATGTCAATTGTTTTCAACTGGACAATACTTTCTGATTATGGCATGGACAAAGATATCGGGTATTTTTTATAATGCCATTACACTGCAGCATACATTCAATGTTGGTTATAATTAAATAAAAAACTATTAACACTACTGTTTAATTTTTTTTCAAACTACTGCTTGTCTATAAAAATGCTTTAATCAAATTTTTTATTTGTTCCCACCAAAATAAAGAATTTGCAATTACAAACATTTCTGCACTGAACCTGGGACACAGAAATCCTTGCTTGATTAAAGTCAATGGATTTTTGCCACTGACTTCAATGGATCCAGGATTTCATCTTATATTTTCTTGCAGCAAATACCTACACCCATGAAACACAGAGACTGTTCTTGAATATTTGTCCATGAGTCTGAAACACTTACACACTGTATTTTGAAAGTCTCAGGCTATGTCTACACTACAGTTTTTTTCATGAAAATGGCTGTTTTTCTGAAAAAACTTCACTTACATCCACACTGCAATCGCGTTCTTTTGACAAAAAATCAAAAGAACAGAGGGGTTTTTCTGACACTGGTAAACCTTTTTCTACAAGGAAAAAAACTTTTTCTGAAAGAGCTCTTTCGGAAAAAGGCGTGTGTGGATGGGGAAGAGGGAGTTCTTTGGAAAGAAGAGGAAAGAGGGAAAAAGCACAGGTGCCCTGGTGGCCACTCCGTCCATAGTAATCACTGCTGAAATGCGAGATAGCGTCCATTCAGTGTGGATGCTATCTGTCAAAAAAGCAGATCGCTTTTTCAATGCACTTTTGCTGTGTGAACACTCTCTTTTGGAAGAAGATTTTTCAGAAGATCTCTACCAGAAAAGCTTCTTCGGAAAGAAGCCTGCAGTCTAGACGTAGCCCCAGAAGGGTAGCTGTGTTAATCTGTAAGTTTAAAAACGAGTAGTCCTGTGGCACCTTACTAACAAAAAATATATGTATAGTAACATGAACTTTCGTGGGCAAAACCCACTTCTTCAAATGAGATGATCTTGAGTGGAGAAAAAAGGGGGCCCCTCAGAATAAGAAGGGAGTGATTTCTAAATTATTTAAAATCTGGAAATTTGTTTTACAGACTATGGTAAGCTGTCAAAAGCTGAGTCTGAAATGTACTTTGATTTAGCTATCATTTAAAAAAGCTTTTTGCCAAGTTACTTAATACAAACCTTTTTTTTCATTTTTTTCAGCTTCTTCAAACAATCCTGGTAAATGTATAACCACCCCATTACCTTTGGGAAAACACAAAAGATTTATTTAAAAAAAAACAGGGATAGAGAATACCCATACTTCAAAATGACTCATGTAAACATATTTTGTACAAAAAAAAACTATTAAAACTTTCCTAGACCTGAAGAATACTCTATGATCATTATTAACTGAACCACTGGAGCCAAATTCACAAGTGGTATAAACAGGTGCAGGTCCATTAAAATGAACAGAATTGTACCTGTTTACATCAAGTCTGAATTCTGGGTTTGATTCAAAGCCAACAGGGCAGCAAAGCCACCTCCCCAGGAGCTAAGCAGGCAAGGGCTGCCCATTCTGCTCCTGAGGAGAAGGCTGTGCTGCCACAGTGTAGCCTCCTCCCCAAGAGCTGGGCCAGCAGGGGCTGACAGCCCCGCTCCTGGGGAGGTTTCCTTGCGGGCTCTACAGTATACAGCTAAGCTTTATAACCCAGAAGGCATTTAAAGTTAATAAAATGAAAATAAAGCTACGCTTTGTACTGCAGAGCTGAGATTTTCAGCAGTAACACGGTTACTTTAATACGCGATTTTTAACACCCCTAACCTTGATTTAAGTTAGGAGAAGAGGAAGCTGCATATCAAATCTGGTGGCCCTAGCTCTTAGAATTTTGGAGGAGGTCTTGAACAAATGGACTCGCAGACAGACACAGACAGGCCACTCTAATATATATCTATATATGAGAGAGAGAGAGAGAGAGATTAAAATGACGCTGAACAAGAAATAACTTGGTGGTACTTATGGCAACCTGGGAATCTGACAGACCAACGGGAAGGTCAATGCTGGCTCCAGGGCTCCGCTCCCAGCTGTCAGGGCACCAGGATTCCATTACCCCAGCTCGCTGTTATTTCCCCGGGAGTAATCCTGCCTGGGAACACCCACAGGGTCACTGATGATGCTGGACCAGCGGTGTGGCTGGACTTGGGAAGTCCAGATTACCGAGGTTCAATTTGCAGAAATAAAAATAAAGCAGCCGAAATCAAAAGAATCGCTAGTTTTGTAAACCCCTATGATTGCTTTCCGTGCAACATTAACTTTTGAAAAGGACGAGACATTTATCTTACCAATGAACGAAATTGCCTTTGTATTAATTATGCCACTAGGAAAGAGATGAAAATCATATTCCTTCCCATCGACGACGACAGTGTGGCCTGCATTATTCCCACCCTGCAAAAGACAAACATGAACATGATTAAGGACACCATAATGTGTCTCTCCTATTTACCCAAAGATTTGGTAGTTTGATCTTTATTATTTTTGCCCTCATGTCTTGGACAATCTAGTTATATCTCAGAATAGTTTTGAAATAAGAAAACAGGAAATGGCTTTGTTTTGACAGTTCTTGGTCAAACTCTGTTTTGGTTTTTGGATATTTGGACTTGCTCTACAAATGTTTATATGAACATGTTTGTGGCCTGTATGTTGCTCACCAGCTCTTTCCAGTGAAATTATTTGCTATTCGATATTTTCACTGTGTGATTTGTCTCTCGAAACACATTTGATTGAGTGAAAAACTCCAATAGAAAGTCATAGTATGGATAACTCCTCAAACCTAGGACAGTATATGAGAAACTCCTATTTAAGTCACTCTCGTCCTGCAGTTGGAAAATATGGGGGAAATTTTTAAAGATGCCCAAATTACTAAGGAACCTAAGTCTCACTTTCAAAACCTATCTTAGGCAGTTAGAAGGCTAAGTCTCACTGTGAGTGACCCTTCAAAGCTGGCACTAAAATACACAGGGCATTCAAAAATATGAGTAAAGGCCCCGAAATCATGTGACTGATTTTAAAATAATGAGATTGAATAGATAAATAAAAGTTGGGTTCTCTTTTAATTGCCTTCTGGGATTTGAGCCTTTACTGAGCATTCAGATCATATTTGCAAATTTCTCTCTACAACCATGAGGGCTAGAAACTTACTTATTTTAATGAATTCTGAGATTTTCTGGTAACTACATAGCTCTAGAAGTTGGGGTTTTAATACTATTAAGGCTGTTTCCCACTCTCACACTTTGAGTGCAGAAGGTGAGGGCCTGCAAGAAACTTTAAAAATATCTTGCCCCCAAAGAAAATCCCTTTGAGAATCCAGGAAGCCACATTTGGTAATTCCTTCCTGTGAGGTACCCTCAAGCTCTTTTAACTCTCCCTTTGGAAAGAACATAAGAACATAAGAATAGTCATACTGGGTCAGACCATCTAGCTCAGTATTCTGTCTGCTGACAGTGGCCAGTGCCAGGTGCCCCAGAAGGGGTGGACCGAAGACAATGATCAAGCGATTTGTCTCCTGCCATCCTTCTCTAGCCTTTAACAAACAGATCAGGGGCACCATTCCTTATCCCCTGGCTAATAGCATTTTATGGACCTAACCTCCATGAATTTATCTAGCTCTTTTTTAAACTCTGTTATAGTCCTAGCCTTCACAGCCTTCTCTGGCAAGGAGCTCCACAGGTTGTGCACTGTGTGAAGAAGAACTTTCTTTTACTAGTTTTAAATCTGCTACCCATTAATTTCATTTGGTGTCCTCTAGTTCTTAGTAAATAACTTTTCTTTATTCACCCTCTCCACACCACTCATGATTTAATATACCTCTATCATATCCACCCCCCACAATCTCTTTTCTAAACTGAAAAATCCCAGTCTCTTTAGCCTCTCCTCATATGGGACCCGTTCCAAACCCCTAATCATTTTAGTTGCTCTTTTCTGAACCTTTTCTAATGCCAAAATATCTTTTTTGCGGTGAGCAGACCACATCTGTATTCAATATTCAAGTTAGTTTTATATAGGGGCAGTAAGATATTCTTTGTCTTATTTTCTATCCCTTTTTTAATAATTCCTAGATCTTGAAAACTTTCTCTTAGTAGCATGGCTGTGCAGTCTTAGGCATGTTCACACAGAACTTCCTAGGACACAGGAATCAGATCATGGTTTTAAAAGGGTGATTTTTTTAACCACCAAAAACAAAAACAACACTTGGTGAAACATTACTTGGTTACTAAGTGTTACAGAGCAACTGCGAAAAGGATTGCTTCCCCAGGGTTAAGTTTGGAAAGTTATTGTTTAAGAGGGTAGGTAGTTACACATGCTCAGGATAGAGAAGTTCCACAGACCCAGAAATGTTCCCTGTTCTACTCACATATCTGTAGTTTCAAGACTTAGTTTAAACACTACACTACTTTTTTGGAAAAAGGTACGCAAATTGCACTCTGCAATTTGCGTACCTTTTTCTGATTGTTTTTTGGAAGAGGCTTTTCCGAAATTTGGCCTGACTACACGGGGCCAAATTTCAGAAAACCCTCCTCTTTCAGAAGAGCCCTTCTTCCTCGTGAAAAGAGGTTTACAGGGCCTCCAAAAAAGCACATCTGCTCTTCTGCAAAAAAATGTCAGAAGAGCAGATGTGTTCCCTGGATGCGGCAGAGTTTTTCCAGGATATTTTATGTTAACGAACTTTTATGTATTATTAGTGTGTGTGTGTGTGTGTGTGTGTGTGTAATGTTACTTATTTTCATTTGTACGTTATGTGGTATTTCAATAAATTCCAGTCCATAGGTTCCTCTAACTTTTTTTAATAGTCCTGTGCTGCTCTAAAATCATACCTTCTTCATTCTAAAACTTGTCCCTTTTCAGTCATGTGGTCTAAATTTAATGCAGCCTGAGATGCATGTCATATTCTGAAAACAGAGTTTAGTGTATAGGAGAAGTTGTTTTAAGTGAGGATAGATCTACACTGTGGTACCTATAACAGTAGAGCTATGCCAAGATAGCCCACAAGGATAAACTCAGTCTACACCAACAGAAAGAGTTCTTCTGCTGGTACAAGAATGCCATATCCCTAAACAATGTTAGCTATTTTTACACAAGTCTTCTTTCATCATATCTGAGGCCTGGTCTACACTAGGAAATTAGGCCAGTAGAGCTATGGTGCTGAAGGGTGAGAGTTAAACCAACCTGTCTACACTTGCACCCTATTTTGAAATAGGGATGCAAATGAAGACATTCGAAATTGCAAATGAAGCTGAGATTTAAATATCCTGCACTTCATTTGCATATTCACATTATGGCCCTATTTCGAAATAGCGCTATTTCAAAATAACAGATGCTATTAAGACACGGTTATTTCGAAAGAAAGCCCTTCTCTCAAAATAACTGGTAAAGCTCATTGTATGAGGAATAAGGGTTATTTCGAGAGAAGGGCTCTCTCTCAAAATAACCACATCTCAACAGCGTCTGTTATTTCAAAATAGCGCCATAATGCAAATATGCAAATGAAGCACAGAATATTTAAATCTCAGCTTCATTTGCAATTTCGAATGTCTTCATTTGCATCCCTATTTCAAAATAGGGTGCAAGTGTAGACATACCCTGGGTATAGACAATGTCACATCAATGGGAGAACCTCTCATCTGGGTAGATGGCATCCTCACAGCAGCACTACAGCAGTGTAGTGTGCCACTGCAGTGTTTTAAGTGTAGACAAGCCTTCAATCAAAGGTGCGATTTTTCATACTTCCATCCAATGGAGCTGGGCTGACATTTTTAAGTTTAGATCAGTTTAATTTTCTCATCTTAAATAAGGACATTTTTGCATTATATTAGATGCTTAACAGTCTCTCCATGGTAAGGATCCTATTAAAGGCATGGATATATAGGTACACAGATTTTTAAAAAATATTCAGTACCCAGTATTCTAGTGCCTAGGCTACAAAGGACACAGTATAAGAAATCTCTTAGGTTACCTCATAAAATATGCTGCCATCTTCAAATAGGAAATTTTATTTAAAACTTTTCCACCTTTAAAGTTTAGGCCTCCCTGTGAAGGTATGGGAGGGTCATATACAGGTAGCTTGTGGGGTAGAATGGAAAGATACCTTGGTGCATGCAATGAGCTTGTCTTACAGAAGCCATAATGTGGACAATGCCCTCATTTTGTGTATATTTTTAAACTGTAAGATCCTGAAATAAGAACAAAATGTTTTCATCGCCTAAAGCCTAATGAGCTAATCATGAGCATGAATAAATAGGCACACACAGAGCTCAAGATGAGAGCAAAGCTTCTGGCCTCGGAAAGAATATGTAAAATATTTCTTAAGTTAATATCCTTTACTGCAGCTCTGTATTTTATACTTTGTACTAGTACGATTAAATACCTCTTCGTTGTAAACAGAGGCCCTCTTTGCCTAGGACAAAATACCAAAACTGGGCTGTAGAAGATGGGAAGAAGGCAACATATTCAAAGTTTGCTACAGCCCATTCACTCAAAATCCTACATAGAACAGGCATCCTCGTGAAAATGAGCAGAGCACCAGAACCGAGGAATTAAGACCAGAACGGCATAAAATGTCTGCTCTTCTTTAGCCCTTCTCTTTTGCAGAAGTGTAGTGATGTTCCTGTGGGGAGTAACATGATCCCTGTAACATGAATGCTGCTTTTTTGATAACTTTTACAAATAGCCAGTCACACAATAAATGAAACAAAACAGATGTCACTGGACAAATTTGCAGCTGTTTTCTTCTTATATTTGGATAATACATTTAGTAGAGTTCATAAAGGATATTTAAAAAATTAGGCTTCTTTTAGTAGCTTTGGTAACTTTAAACCTGACCTCATCCTGTATTTATAATCCAGGTGGTCCTGACATGATCTCGCTGGTACCCAAAGGAGAGGCTTAAGTTTAAAATAGCTGTCACCATGTTGTTTTAAATTCTATAATGATATGATGTACCTTATACATATTTATTGCTGCTATGAAGATATGACTTGGGATAAATATCACCACAAACACTAGAATTGCTAAGGAAATTAAATTTACATGTTTATAGCGTGCAATTCCTTAAATGAAGATTAAATTCTTTACAGGGTATAGCTCTAAAAAACAAGTGCTAACAGAAGATGGCACCTTCTCCTTCATGGATTTTAATAGTATTGTAAGCCTGCTGTGTATATCAGCTAGGTGACAGTGCAGGCCACTTCCTCTCTTCTATTCGCTTTCACAGACTGTTATCAAGGTGTATGACAAGGTTGACAAAGGAATCTCTGAGGGTTGGTATCTCCATGAGCTAGCTCACCCTGCATCTCTTCGTGTGATCTCCCCTGGAATTGATAGAGCTGGGTTACTTCATTTGTATTGGTGCCGAACTGCAAAATTGGGTGGTGGTGGAGACAGGCAGCCTC